TGCAGAATGTTGGCGCTGCACTTTGATTTCTACCAATGTAATTCGACACTCTAACAACATTGTAAACTTGTGCAAATTGACGGTACAATTGTTTGAATTTTTTTCTCGTTTGAAGTCCTCTTTTACTTAGCTGAAGATTCTTCTTCTGTAACACGGAAGGAACTAACGCCAAAGTCCGAAGACTCTTCGCCGAAAGCGGTACTCTGTCTTTGTCGAATCATGTCCTCCATTACATACCTTCGTAGCTCAAGATTCCCTTACCCATTTCCAAGGTTCTTGGGCTCATTGGAACGAGCACAACAAGCTCTACCTACTGAGATCATGTTTATCCACTACTATTACTTAGAGTCTACTCCAGAATCCACTATTTACTCACCATCTGACTATTCCTATTCTAAAAGTTTGAAATTACTAGCCTTCTACTTCTCAAACCTCGTCTTATCAAAGAAAATAAATAAGTAAGTTACCACAATTTTCCAAAGCTCACATCTATGTATATTATTATTGACAAGAGCGACAAGCTTGCATTATGTCTTCATAGACTTGCTAGATATGACATTGATAAAACTCCATCAATAAAATATAATTAATTGACTTTGATAGTTGAAACAAAATTTAGATGCATTAGGAAGTTAGAAAATGGTCATGTGGTTACCTCAAGAATACTAAAAAATACGATGTTTTATTTGATTATTTGTTGAGCAATGTCAAATCCTTGTGATCATATTTTGATATTGATAAAAAAAAATGAACAAACAAATAATCTATATTAGATGTGAGTTTACACTTGATGTATGTTTTAGTCAATGAGATGATAAAACATGACATTTTTAATCATCATTTTGATAATAAGATTGCATTATATTTGTAGCAAGTCAAATGGTGAATAAGAAGATGAAACAAATCAACTTTCTATTTGATTTTATATATTAATGTTGAGTTAGTCAAAATTGACGATAAATTCAATGAAACTCAACAAAATTCATCATTGAAGAAAAAATTTGAGACATCGTGCATCTTTGAAGATTTTGCAAAAGAAGCTCTTGATGCAAAGATTGACCTACTTGACTAACTTGAATAAGATTTTGCATTGAAAATAATGTCTTAAAAATCTTAAGTATTGTTTACTATTTTGATTATCCTTATATATGACTTTAATCTATCAAGTTTTGACTATAGTTAGATAAAGTTGATTCTATTTTATTAAAAATTTTATGTGAAATTTATTTTCAGAAATTTTTATAGAGTAATCATGTTGATTATAAAAAATATCTATCTTCATACATAAGTCAAGAGAAAGGTTGTTAGACGTTAAATCAACTTAGTTTATCACAAGTTAGTTAAATTGTTCAATCTATGACTTTTTAAGGGATTCACTAAAGCTTTGAGTAAAACAACTAGGGTTGTTTTACTAATATAGTCTAGATTTAGCAAATGGATGTAGTCTTCAGTGATGAAGGATGGAAATCTCTATGTCTGCTATGTGCTTGTTTACTATTCTTGGAGTGTATGTATGTTTGATATTTTCTCTTGAATTTTTTTTAATTGTTTTTGTTGAAGGTGGAGTATTTAGGCTTTAACATCTTGTCTAAATCCTCAACCTTTAGGTTGTTCATGATTTTTCTCCTTCAAAGTAGATAGTTATCACGTCTATCATGTGAATATGTCAAAATCATTTCTCCTAGTCATCATCCTAGTCATCCATTGAATTGTGGAGGCTGTCACTTGTGATATTTGTTGAAACTTCATTCTATCCATATATGTAAAAAGAACCACAAATCTTGTGAAAGACTTTGACTATATATTTAATCACCGATGCAATCTTTCTGTTCAATGATATTCAAAATTCATGACAAATGAGAGCAATTTTTGCAGATTTACTCTGTTTAATTTCGGGCAATCAATTCCAACATATACCTTTCGGATTAAACCTGCATATAGTTTCTACCTGTTTTTTAATATTTGTTCAGAAATTACTTCAAATCTTTCTAATTTGCCACTTTGGACTGCTACCATGTAAGCTATTTTTGTGGAACCAGGAGACAATGCTCCTGGGGCTTTGCGTGGGAGGCGTCCGAGATGGATCTGTCCAGCAACATCATCTCTACGAACTCACCGTTGTCAATTGTCTTACCATCCTCACCATTCTCCAACTGTGCCAAAGCTGAAAGGGGATTCCTCACGCTGGATGTTGAGAGCTCATTTGACTTGCTGTACTCCAACGCCGTATCGTCCCTTTTGACCAACAAGCTACCCTCGCTTTTGCATGAGTACAAAGACAACTGGAGAGTGGAACACCAGAGACAAAGTACTTCTTTTACAAGAAGAGTGAAAATGTCCCTTCCATACGACCATCTTGTCGCTCCCATCGCATAGTCGTCTGAGTCTTCAACAAATGGTAGAATAACAAATAAAACGCTACAAAACGTTCAACAACTGACTGCATATTTACTTTCAAAGACACAACTTTGACTTGTGTGTTTAAAAGTAAATATGTATGAACCTAAAAGTGCAATTGTGTCTATGATCATAAGTTAGATCTTAATAGAAGATTTAGGTATGAAAATTCAATTTATCAAGTTCTCCATATAGTGTTCGCGATAGAACTTAGGAAGGTATTCGTGGAAAGTTGGAATGAAAAGAAAATGAGCCTTCCTGGGTGGATGGGAGCTAACGTTGAAACCATCCTGATGGCAAATTTGTGTTCATGGATTCAAATAAATGGTCAATAGCTAAAGTCTACTAGAGAAGTTACACGGAGAATGATTATCAGTCAGTAATGGGTTAAGTAAAAGGTCCTTAGCTGGAAACCTAGGAAGACAGTAAACCCATCCTCGTTGGAGCTAACCCTCATGACATCCCAATTGAAAAATATCATAGTGCAGCCAAAATATCCCAAGACTTCAGAAGTTTGAAAGTCTTTATTGAAACCTCCGGTAGGTCATTAACTAAGTTTTAAGTCGAATCGAATATGTCAACTAAGAATCGAGTGGGAGAACCTGAATTATTGTTTGCAGAAATAGAGACGGCAGGTTTATCATGCTAGGTATGCGGTAGATCTATCCTTATTATAGGCTGGACTAGCTAAACGCACAGTAGAGTGAGTCAGAAGCCATTCTGTATGTTTAGAAAAGGTTAAGCTATAATTCCACGCTGCAAAGAAGACCGCCCCACAACAAAACGGAACACCTAAACAAAAGCGCGGACGGCAGGATTCGAACCTGCGCGGGCATAGCCCAATTGATTTCGAGTCAATCCCGTTAACCACTCCGGCACGTCCGCTTGTTGCCCGTTCTCTGACTTTTAAATATATAATGTTTAGTATTCTTAAGTGAGATGCAGAATCTTATTTGAAACTCAGACTCTACCACGGTCATGGTTCGCGATGTATATAACATAAGTTAAAGTTTCAGCACAATCTGATTAAAAATTTTTCCTATGCTATCCTGAGTCGCCATATGTACTAGATTTTAATATGAAAATTAGATTGAGGTATAAAGTGTCCGAAGACGCACTTCAAAGACGAGTCCATTTCAACGTGCTTAAAATTCCTCTATGCTGGTTCATCAAGACATATGCCTCATTATTGCAACTAATGAAGGCCGCTCTACTTGCTGGTCATTGTCGAATAGGCCTTCCGGTTCGCGAGGCTACCTCATTCTTGCTTATCCAGTAAATAATTTCCACCTAAAATACATGCCTTCAAAACCGTATTTTTAAAAACCGTGAGACTGTCATTGAATTCTCCGAAAAGAATATACAGCTCAGGGGAAATCAAATTTATATCAGGGAACTCACTCAGTAATTGACATCAAGTGCCCGATATTTGTGGGAACATATCCTCGTCTTTATATAGAGAGATATACAGTGGAAAAGTTCCAGAACACATGATTTGTCTTTATAGTTGTGAAAGGACTTCGTGTCAATGTTTCAAGGCTTAATAAGGCAGACATCCAGACTTACTCTCGAGTCATAAGCGCTTCGTGTTATTCATTAAGGGAGACATTAGTAACGGGAATCCAGAACTGGTGAGAAGTTACAATGATAAGTTTCCGGTAAACAAAGCAGGCTCTAGTGGAACCTAATCTAATAGGATGTTGACTTCGTTCTTCGATATCCATGTCACGGGCGCCTACAGATGATAGTTTACACTTATTCCGATATTACAGACCAATGCCTTGTTATGGTATTTCACAAAATTTTCGACTGACTTTTGAGCTGATATATTACAGGTTTGCTATTGTATCTCTACAGTGTCTGACATAGTGAAGCTGTACATATGGTCGCAAATTCCTGACGAGAGTTTAAAAGATTTAATGACATGTATCATCACTGACTTCAAATGCAGAGGCAAGGTGTGACTGTCCATCATCAGTATCAAAGCACCATCAGCTTCAAGGTGACAGTGCCTATCTAGGAGCAATGATTCATATAGGTTAGCGCGATCCGACTTTTATGGTTGTGTTTAAATTGGTTCCTGTAACAGAGGTTTATTCCGAAATTATCCTAGCCGTCTTTCTGAATGAAGAGTGTAGGTTCTTTGGCTAAAGTCAGCCTGCGCTAAGTGTAATTTGATTACCGAATTAAACTTAGAACCCTTTTTTGGGGGTGTGAAATGCACGTCGAAGTAGGCGACAGACAGTTGTACACACGGCTGAAATCAACTTAATCTTGCTTGGTTGATTGTTGAACTGAAGACTAAAGAAATTACTGCAGGACAATGTGAGCCAAGAGAGCAAGCCTTTGCAAAAGGTTTGGAGAATTAACAGTGCAGGAAAATCAGTCTTCTGCTTAGAAAACTGATAGCTGATCTGAACTTTGCCCCTTTTCATTCCTCTGCATCGCGATCAAAGACCGAGAAAAAAGTTTTTCCTACATAGCACCGACTCGGACGCGAAACACAAGGAAAGTCTCCGTGAGAGCGCCAGCAGGATTTTACTTCTCAATGAAAATGAACGTAAGATTGTGTCTGCCATTTCTTCCAATCGTTACGCATGGATGAATAAGTTGAGCTATTTATTAACATTCTGCTGATTACAAGGAAATTGGCATGTACACAACAAGAAGCTGTGTCCAAAACTGCTTCTCACCTCGTTATCCAGATAGAAACTTCTTGTTGTTGACAGACCTGTTGAGAGTCATGCTATCTGTCTTCCAGTGAGCTTCATGCACGACCTTCTTATAGTTGGTCAAGTGGATAAAGCATGCTGTCTCAGAGCTGCCCACTATACAACACTGCCGAAAATTTCCATTCTAGTAACTACATAGCCTTGGTAGTAAATCATCACGAGGAATTCTCCGGTCCAGTGGCAGGCAATACCCATTTCTCACCAGAAAAGAACGTTGCGTCGCTTGTTAACGATATTATATCTGCAACTCACACCATTGACTTCAAGCACCGGGAGCAGCCAGCACGGCGCGGCGATAGTCATCCCGTTGTACAATATGTGTATCGGGTTTCTCAGATTCACTTGTTAAAGAATTCTCACTTTCGTGTGAAGCTTTCAGGCGCATATAAAGTCTTCTGCAAACAGCGAATACAGCTAAGGCAACGGCGACAGTTGCTAACCCACCTCCCACGGTCAGGCAGAGCAAAATGCCAGCAGGTATCAATATAGGGCTGAAAATGGCCAAAGTTACGGCAGTTCCAATGAATACAACGCTGCCGACGGCAATGCTGCTTCCCACAACAACCAGGTTTAGAATCACCCAGGGTAGCCATCTGAGCAGCTCCCCGGAAGCTCTCATGGAGCTGTCTAGAGGATTATCTTCTGCTTCTGTGTCTTGGGTTTCGTCTTTAGCTTCCAGAGGTTCAGTCTCCGAGTCTTCCATTGATGATTCAGAGGGCTCTTGAAGAGTTTCTTGCGCTTCGGTTTCTGGAGTTTTCTCCTCGGCTTCCACAGGTTCCTTTTCCGAGTTCTGCTCCATGGTTGCCATCATACGATTTTCCGGCGGACAAACTTGGATCAACTTCACGAGCGGTTCTCCAGCTCAAATACTGTCAGAGAAACAATGGGAAAGTTCAGTAATCAGCGCAACGAAGACGAAAATAATAGCGCAAATACGCGTTTTGTTAGATCGGCGATGTAGCTACTGTGCTTCGCTCGAATCCTTGAACCCTTGTGAGTGTCATGCAGGGAAATTGCCATGCGAGGTCTCTATCACAATTTCAACAATGGAAGACGGAGGCAGATTACATGATCATCAATCCATCCGTGCACTAAATGAAAACACCTAATACCAGAACTTCGCTATACGGTTCTACGTATTGAATGCTTCTCATGCGCAAGGGGACCCGAAGGTTTTATTTTCCCTGTTCCAGAAGTGAAGCCAGATGTCTTTGCACATGTAGATTCGGAAAAATCAATATTTCATGAACCTCGACATCAAATCGACTTGGGAACAAACAACGTTATTCCAGCAATGTCATCAAATCACGCATTTACTTTCTCATTGAAAAATATGTGATGTCTTTGATAAAACCCCCAACAACGGACCCAGTCCACACCTGAGTGCGTTCGCGAAGACCCAAAAGAGAGTTCCTCTGCTCTCACTGCTGATCGCCCACTGAGGATTTGGGGCCTCAATTTCCAAAACCTGCGACGCCTTTCCTCCCCGTGAAGACCTCGTGCAGTAAAAGTGATCGTTTCTATTGTCGACTCTTAAGCTTTACACCGGCGGGGGATGGGGGAGTGGTTCTTTATTTTACATCCTCGTCCCTTCGCTGGGTTGTGGGTTTGGGTTTGTGGGCGTTCTCGACGTCTGACAGGGTCATTGGTTTCAATTACCCCGGAGCACGAGCCCATATGATGGGTGTACATCCCATGCGTTGGAAGCTTGAAACAATCTCAAAAGATAATGCACCCAAATCTCAGGGTCCATTGAAATGATTCGGCTGCCGCATGCATTCCGACACCTGTGAGACGGTAAATTCGACTCTACCTACCGACAGCAAGTTAGAGGAAAAGGCCATCAGCAGATTCTGAAGTTGAATGAGTGGGTTACAAGTGTATCACTCAGGTGGCCTGAATTGGCTTGCTAGTATCATGGGTCAGATGTCTGCATACCGACGTTCATAGATAATGCGTGACCTGTTACTCGTACTGTACATCAGTCAAAGTGCTGTGCCTCGCCATCGGAATTCATGAGCTCACTCGCTCTCGTCACTTGTCTGTCACCAGCGTGACCGTCAATCTACTGTAACTTGCATTTACCTTGCCTGTATACGGTTGAAGTCGAGAAAAGTGCCTGCCTGACAATAGTCTGTAATGTATAAGATGAATTTATCAGTGAACATGATAGAAAATTTATATATTCTTTTCGTGCATTTTTTCTGGGCTACTATTTATCTTTTATCCGGTCGTTTTTTAAGGGAAAAAGAGGGTACCCAGAGAGTCCATTATCATACTTTACAACCGAGGCCATTTCTTCTCTCCAGCTTTTGAATCCTTTTAAGGTATTTGGCGTTTGATTGACCAACACCGCTTATAAAATGGTGGAAAACGTGACGAACACGTGATATGTGACACCTAGAGGGCCATGGTGCCGAAGGGACCAATTATTTTTTTCTCTGCTGATACTTAGATCTGTTCCTGCAGCGGCCTGAAGATGCAAAACGATCATGAAGGATTGACTGCATCAACCTAATATCAAGGGCCTTAGAGGCTCGTTTACCCTTCAATCTCGTTGGTCGTTCAGTTGTAGATACAAGCTCAGCACTGGTACTACAGTTGACGAATCAAATGCTTGATGTTCCGGTATGGCATTTACCTTCAATCTCCTTAGTCTCTTCATCAGAGTGGCAAGACAAAGTGAACTTTATAGTTGGTCTTGTTGGTGCCAGAGATCTTTACTGGCCCCATCGAGCTTTCGCGTGTCTATGTCTAGCACCTGAGGAGATGAATGTTTATGAAGGTCGTGAACTTTGACATGACGTGAACTAATCCTGTCGAAGACGCTCAGCATGACGGTGGTCCAATCTGTCAGACCTCGTACTCCACATTACAAGCTGAAGGACCACGGATGGGATGAACCAAGTCTACCTGATGTCTAGCTGATGGACAACCCAATCAACGGTAAACTTCTCCTCCAGCTAGCTGTACCGATGTCACAGAACAGTTCTGCTCAAAAGCCATTAGAACAGAACGTCTCTGTTTACCTTACGGGACGAGCTCTCTTTGTATCCACAATGTTATAGTCTGTCTTTACAGTTCTCCTTACAAACTGTGTTTATATCTCTTCGCCTCCCGAGATTGCCTGCGTGCCTTGCATATCCATCGAATCTACCTTGTGAACGGTTTTCGCGATCACTGCGAGAGCCGCATGTGGTTTGGAAGCGATTTGCTTCACCACTAGGGTTACCCGGTAGTCAGGCTTGGGTGTAAAGTTTAAAGGCGAAAGACTCATCAAACGATCTAGTAGCTGGTTTCGTATGAAAATAAAATATAGAACTGATGTTCAGTTGCGCAGTTGTTCGATATTCAAATGTTCATCCTTTGTTAACGATGCTGTCTGCCGGGCTGTTTATCTTCCTCTTTCAAAAGTTTAGAATTCGTTGCTCGTTATTCTGAAGACTGTCAGTAAATTTTGGGTAAACGATTGATGAGTGCCATAAGATAAATTGAAGAGGTAATGACGGTGTGAGGCTGTGTCTGTGAGAAACTTTCATGGTCGATTGGACGAGATAATCGAAAGATTCAGCATAGAATCTAGTCGAAGACAGAGATCTTCATAACCTGGCCTGGAAATTGGGTGCCCAGTGATGCAAGAGCTTTCTAGACCTCCCATTTATCACCTCCTGATTTTCATAAAGCAGGTAATATAAACTTTTGGTGTGATGGCCCTATCTGTCATCGTGGTTCCTAGCACATCCTCCATGCTGGTACTCCGGCAGCCCTGTCTTAGTTACTCTAGGAGTAGATATAAGTTTTCTATAGAATCTGAGCAGAACGATACCCGAAGCCATCGAGGCAGTTGGCACTGGCCTCCACTTGAATGCAGACCCACCAAATGTCATACAGTAGATTGAGAAGTAGCAATGGCACATTTGTTGGGCATAACATGTTCTGTCCATACTTTGTTCTGTTTGCTTCATTCTGCAAACTGCAACTTGACATTGAGAACTCTCCGTACCTGGTGGAAGTACTTTGCCATCCTCCGTGTTCTTCGCACATATTTTGTGTCCAGGTATGAGCACCTACGTTCACTGATAAAGGTTCAATTAGCTCTGTTCTGAATGCTACACTTTCAGACGCCATATGAGCAGAATGCATTGTGCATTTACTAGCTCTTGTTTATTCGTACACTGCGAACCCCGTTTCTTGCACAAGATGGTGAAGGAATAGGAAGTATGCAATAAATTAAAGTTTGAAGGATGCATTCATGCAGGTAGTTTCTGCTATTTCTGTTTCTTCTAAATCAGCATCTTTCAAAGTCTATTAGTTGAATTAAAGGAATCATGCCTGAGCAGTCCTATCTAGAAATATCTAACTTCAGGTCTCTCCTTCTCTTCCCTCGTCCACAAGGCTTACGTTACCTAGCAACGACCCAATGAATAGGGTTTATCAGGGAGGTCGGGGAGAAGCATTGCAATGAGCTTATGGTCTTTAATTTTGACTGGATCGAACAGACCTGTCAGACACTAAGACATGGTCGATTCATTGAAGAATTCCTTGAGTCTTTGGAGTTACATGTTCAGACAGAAAGAGTCGAGAAAACATCTCTCTCCTGTTTCTTAGGGCGGATTTGAAGACATTATTACTGTGAAAAACGAACATTTGAGGTACCTCGGGTTCTCTCACACAAATGAGTCTGCAGAAGTTGACAAAGATGTACAGTCTGCTTAAATTCCTTGAAGCTTGTAGGAAAGATTTGTAACCGCCTGTCTAATCGTAAGCTCTCGCTTTATGACGGCTCCTGCCAGTTCAAAAGAGATAGGGATGGCAAAATTGCTACTCGTTAACCGAATGAAATAAATAGAATGAATGTAAAGACGACAGAAATTATACAGCTAGAGCTTAGTAGCTTGTCGCGTTTCAACAATATATTTGCGAAGATGAAGCCGTTTATACCTCGAGTTGTCAGATCGAAGATTTTCTTCCGCCTTGTACTAGCGACGGATACAGCCCATGTCCCTCCTGTTATGGTTTGCCTTCTGCAAGAAACTATGATATTGTTCACGAAGCCCCATGTGGAACAGTCAGACTGTAACTAAGCATCCATGAGCAACTTGGCCAACTGCTGTTGAACTGGAGCTCGAAAACTTATAATGCTCACGGCAACGCTCACGATTGCGACTACAATTTTAAACCACCAGCTGGCAAGCTTTAGAACCTGCCAAGATATGCGAACAAACTAGTGCAAAACATTTTCAAAAGTACTCCTTGCAAGCTTCAAGATCCGATCGCTCCATCTATAATGTGCGTACGTAAAGACGGGTTAATTTGCACATTCCTGTGTACTGCTATTTCGGTATCGTACATGCGAACCCGAGGCCCCTGTTTCTTCGAATCAAGGATAATGACACTTCGTTCATCAACGTACTGTACACGCTTGATTCGGTACTTTCATGAAAAAAACAATATTTATTTACAGATTATCACAGACAGTGCTTGTAGAAAAATACATTCTCTACAGCCGAATGCCCTTTTCATCTGGGTTTTTGTAGTGTCGTTTTATGTCAAGTCAAGGGTCAAGATGAGCTGGTGTCCTGGATTGATCCCTCGAAACGACATTAGTGAGCTGAGCGTTGAATTTTACAGTGTGGACTCTGAAGGTGTAAGGGGATGTGTGTGGAGGCGTGGAAACGTGAAAGAGATATACGTGTTGAACTGCCATCCAATACCTTCAGCACATTGCACATATCGTGTTGGGAACGACGATGACCTCATTTCGATTTCTTTCTAGGAGCTGGTAGAACAAAGGGAAACATAAACTATCTCCACATAATGCGGCAGTGACTATCAAATCTGACCAGCTGACATATAGTTCAAGATTAGAGAATCAAAGTAGGACCTTTCTAACCCCATCAGCCGAGTTTTGTCTCTATACTCTAAGTCCTGCTGTTCTTAGCACAAGAGAAACCAAACGCCATCCCATGATGCGCTCTTTTTGGGTGAGATTTCCAGTGCAATTTTCACAAGAAGTTGAGTCAAGTTTAACCCTTGAACCTACTATTATCTTCTTCAACTAAACTTACCGACCCAGTAGAGGGCAGCCGGTGACGTGTGCAGTAAATAGCATTAACACGTGACCTGCTGCGGCGAACTTCGCAGGGCATAGCAGGCAAGCTACAGTTTGTCCACGTGTCCAGATCGGGCCTTTCGGATTTCGGTCATCGGAAGTGGCCGCTTGTCTCGAACACTCGGCTAACCATGGTTCAAATCAAGTACACACTCCAGGTCAACACGGTCTGCTAGAAAATTGGCTTTTCACTCGTCTGAAGGCTGTGTACCTTGCGGAACTATGCTCCAGAACGACCGTCCCCGGTACCCGGTCATTCTTGATCTCTGCTTTTCTTCTTTCAGGTTTTCGCCTGGAATACATCTGAGGGCGAAATACCAAACGAAAAGTGAGTGGATGATGGTGACTAGGCATCGCTTCCCAGGCTGTGAAGCGATGGATACTCACAATACTTTCAATAGTCAGTATTTCATAAGAGAAACTGACACTCTTACAGCAACTACATACAGGAGCATGAACCAGTTAACCAAGACAATTGTAATTGACCAGAAACTAATTTAAATGAATAAAGTCATGATAATTCTCCATCTATGTTAGAAGGGAAGAACTGAGCAACAATCAAACGTACTGAAAATAGAGAAAAGCGTGACAAGATGCGAAAGCTTCTTCTTATGACTAGCGTATTCAAAGGAAGGAAAGTGACAATCACATAAAAAGACAGTTAAGACTTGCACAGATTAGTAAGATGCAACTCCATGAAATGCAGGAGAAACAAACTGTTAGAGTTTGATACGTGGACTCGAAGGAAGCAGAAACCCTGCTGGAGAGTACATCTGTGCACGTGAAATGACGGATGCGTGCAATCTGGACGAGCCGGTTGTGCGCGAGATTCTGTAGTTTCTTCCGATACGCCTTGCAGAGAAAGCCCGGTTCAGCTCGTACCCGGAAGCATCGTCTCAATGTGCTACGTAGCACGGTTGTCCTCTATAGGCCTACAAGAGTCCACGCACCAGGCACACGCGGACCTCCGTACGCGGGTCGGGCCAAAGCGAAGCCGTACCGCCCCTCCAACCCGTGGTAAATTGCTTCCAATAGCGCCGAGCCCGAAGGTCCAGCGGTGACCTGGACGACGCAGGCAGGGTCAGGGGCAAGCGAGCCGGGGGCGCTGCGTGCCTTGTATGCATCGGCCAGGGGGGAAGGGGGCGAGGGGCAGCGGAAGAGCTTGAGAACTTTCGTCTTCTACGCATCGGGCATCGCTGTGGGGGTGGGGTTTGGGTCGTATCTGGGTGCAAGAGGTGGATCGATCTGTCGCTCGTTAGCTCTCGGAACGATCCATTTATTGGCTTCGTCTTATATTGAAGGCGGAGCGCACGTCGATCTCGTCACTTCGGTGAGAGTTCTTGAGTTGTTTCGGGTGAAATTTGTTGGGAAAAAAAATGGCCTCCTCCGCGCGCACTGCCGCGGCTCTCTTGAAGAGGACGATCAATTCTTCGTCGTTGCAGGTTTCTTCTGTTGGTCTGAGGGGTATTGCGACATCGCCAGCGGTCGAGCAGGCCGCTCCATCTTCTCCTTCCAGTACGGTCAATGCGACGAGTAGTGTGAAGACCAAGTCACAACCGAATCTTAAGAAATTTTCAATTTACAGGTGGAATCCTGACGAGAACAAGAAGCCGCAGGTGCAGACTTACACTATCAACACGAATGAGTGCGGACCTATGGTTTTGGACGCGTTGATCAAGATTAAGAATGAGGTGGATACTGGTTTGAGTTTCAGGCGTTCGTGCCGAGAGGGGATTTGTGGCTCTTGTGCCATGAATATGGACGGGAAAAATGGACTCGCTTGTCTGACAAAGATTAACTCTGATTCTGCCAAGGAGACTTTGATCACCCCTCTGCCTCACATGTTCGTTGTGAAAGACTTGGTCGTGGATATGACCAACTTTTATAGCCAGTACAAAAGTATTGAACCGTGGCTGAAGAGGAAGACTCCCAACAAGAATCCGGGTAAGGAAAACTATCAGAGTGAGCAGGATCGGAAAAAGCTGGACGGTATGTACGAGTGTATTTTGTGCGCTTGCTGCAGCACCTCTTGCCCGAGTTACTGGTGGAATCCGGAGAAGTATCTGGGACCCGCAGCTCTGTTGCACGCCCACAGGTAATAATTTGGAAAACCTAAAAGTCCTGTTATTTCCTTTCTATCGCTGTATTTTGACGATACTTCTCTTTGGACCAGTTAACTCGTAGTCAAACTTAAAGACCAAATTGAAGGATGAATGTTGCTTGCATGTCCATGAGCAGACTTTGAAGTCCTGCCACTCTCTTTGGTGTTGGGTGATCTTGCCTAACATTTGCATCAGGCTCGTTTCTGTTCTTCGTTTCATTGCTTGATGATTGTCGCCCTTGCAGTCTACGTAGATTCCAAGTATAGATCATGAAAGTTGGAGATCTGTCAGTCTGATTTATTGCGATTGGGAGCTTATATTCTAGAAACCGATCTTGAAACTCACCCATTAAAGTGTAGAGGATTTCACAGGTTGACTTTTGTTTGGGAACATTGGAACAAGAATGTAGAGTAAACACTGCAACGTTGGTTGAATATGCGCAAGGTGTCTAATTCTGTCTTATAGCATGTAGAATCGTCCCGGTTTAGAAGGTGCACATGTTTTTACTAACATATTTATTCAAAATCACAGCTGACGGTTAATTCATTCCCGTATTATATACACGCTGTCATTTGTGCGCTTAAAATAAACTTGAAATGAATGCTTTGGTCACGAGAAGGTTGATGAATCTGTGTATTATTAGGAAGCTTAGAACTTAATCTAACTTTTTAGTTCTACTTCTACATTCGTTAAAATTTTGCACATCTTCTCGGAAACTTTTATCGGTAACATCTGTGCACATTCTCTCGGATTGTAATTTGATACGAGTGAACCCTTCATGACAGCAAATATCACTCTTGTATGTCCAGTCGAGAAGAGAGCAGTCGTTTTATGAATCTGGTGGAAATCTGTTATGGTCTGGACTTACACTTTTTTCTATTAGAGCGTATTAACCCTTTGAGAAATCGGAGGTATAGAATAAATACATTGATGGTCTTAATTTGAGGGTAGAATATATTTTTTTATAAGTGAATAAGGTGTAACAGATGCTTCAAAATTTTTACAGCTATGTGGTCGAACTGAGGAAACAAGTTTTCTTGATGGTTTTCGATCGTCATACAATTTATTGAATCTTCTCTCGAGCGGAGAAAGAACATCTGTATATATATTAGATAATTTCTGGTTGCAATCCACTACTTTATGAAGTGTGCTAGGATTGATAATGCCTGTTTGGCCAGCTCAACTTCAAAGTTTGAGAGGTCAATCGTTTCAAAGAAGTGATGGTCAAAAGGCGAAGATATGAATATGCAAAGCGTCCAATTTTAGGATATGCAACGAGTACTTTGATTTTCATGACTGTGACTGATAATGTGGTATTCATTTCTCAGGTGGATAGCAGACAGCAGAGATGAGTACACAAAGGAGCGATTGGAATCCATCGATGATGAATTCAAGCTATATCGCTGTCATACAATCATGAACTGTGCCAATGCTTGTCCAAAGGGTTTGAACCCAGGTTTGCAGATCTCGAAAATCAAAAAACTCCAGGCCACTCGATGATCTGCAACCGAGTCCATTGTGGTGGCCAGCTTTGGCATTGTGATGCACCATTGTTACTGCTGCTTCATCCTGTTGAAAGAAACAGGAATGATCCCATTACGGCAGGCCCACTGAGATGACGTTCTAAAATATATTTCCGTGTCTTTTTTCGCTATTGCGAGAAAACATGGGAGCTGTAAGAGAGGATATTTTACGGTGATGTTCATTCGACAGAGACGAGGCATCATGTTCATGTTTTGGTGGCTTAGTTGTTACATAGAAGTAGATAAGGCCTACCTTGAAAATGAAATCGAATGGCCATCCAGAAAGAGAACCTCATGTTGGCTGGGCTACGAGTTTATGAACTTTTACGCGTGTTAAAGTTGATGCTTTTCCAGGTCGTTAAGTACTCCCAGCTTATCCGGTACATTTTTCCATCTGTATATAAAGTGGACTAAGAAGTTTTTGAGATGACGAGTAGGTAGAAGGTGCTCAAAAATGGTGGATATGTGCACAAAAAACGTTCACTGTTGCCTTTATACTCCGTAGGTCTACCTTACCTCGTTTGTCAGAGTAACTGCTATGAAATTCTTTTACACTTCGAAAACAGCTGCAAAGGATTGATTTACACCTGCTTCCAACTACTGTTGTTCTTGAATTTGAAGATTACATCATATCACTAAGGCATGTGACTTTGGAAGCTTAAGGAAGCATTCGGTCAGTACTACTGTTGGTTTTTGTTACTTGTTCACTGATTTTTGTTTTAAAGGTATCGTTGTCGTTATAGATTATACATCTCAATGAACTCCTGGCTGCTTGGTGTAAAAGGAGGAGTAACAGTAGTTGAACGTAGTAGTTTATTGGTTGTTCTCGTAAGGCTTTATTAAGATGTAGGCTGTGGGACTAAGTACCTTCTATCGGTGTTATCCTAAGTCCGCATCACTACCAGTATAGTCAGACAAATGTTTGTTAGAGAATATCGGGTCCGTTTCGATGCACTTAAGTGGGCTGGTAAAGGTAACGTTAATGGGTTACACACTCATCTTTTTTTGACTTCACAGCTACTTGTCATCCCGTGAAGATGATCATCGAACAATCGGAAATGAGGTAAATCACTGATTGTGCGTTTTGAAGATCAGTTTGAATTCAAATCAGATACAACTAATGAAGATTCTGAGTATAGAGAAACTTCATTATATGCTGCGCATAAGTAGATGTGATTTCGTCAAAACCGTTCTTCTCTTTGCATCGCAAAAGTTAATAAAGTTTTCTGTAACAAACACAGTAAATGACAGACGTTGGTAGAGGACCGAATACGGCTGGTATCTCACATCTTGCACGAAGTCCTCATGACTGACCTCCATTTGCTGGACGCTAAAGACGTCTGAGATCTTTTGTAGTCCTTCCGCCTCCTCTGTGATTCGACGATATGGAGGAAGGTTGAAGAACTTTGTGTGCTCCTCAGTGAAATGACCACGGCTCTGGTTGTTGCTTAGGAGAGTCACTGGCCGCAGCATTTGATTAAGAGGAGCAAAAGCTTGTCTCCTCACCACAGGTTGACACCAAGTGCTCACGACACACACTTCACCCACTTGATCTGCATGAAAGGTAAAAGGGTATTCAATTGCTTCAGACAACTGGGCTGAAATTCTCTTTCTTCTGCCCTTCAATGGTAAATAACCCGCGATTTAAGAAGTATGTCTGCAGATTGTTTCGAGCAATTTTCGAGTGAGATATGTGAGTGACAGAAATAAGTCCATTGTATGTGATCTAAATCAGAGAATGGGTTTCTATGGGCCTGAGTAGTGGTAACAAAGTAGAAGATGACAAACTTCTTTCTGACCGATGTGCAGACACGGTTGACGAGGAGTGTCATTTCATCCTTCTGAGAAGATGCTCTATTTCAATTTGTGTTAATTCATATCGTTGAGATGTGAAATTACGACTGGAGGATGCTCGAATTTCACTAAGAAGGATCTCACGTGTTTTGAAATTTCTTTATCGTAATTCGATAACATCAAGTCAGCAGGAGTTTCTTACCTCTTTCCATATGTCGCTCGCTCTCTGCATCTCAGCTTGAAGGCCAATTCCAAAGATTTGTTGCATTGTGTAACTCGTTTGTTGCATTGTGTAACATTGACGCTTTTGCGTCAGAGTTTGACGCAAAAGCGTGTGATACTTACCGGGACAATGAAAGACCTGATCAGTGCCGACTATATCTAGACGATAGAGGGAAAGAGTTACAGTACATAGCTGCTGGGTCTATTTCATGTGCTTTCAAGAGCTAGCCATGAACTTCATGGCATGAACCTCACCCATTTCATGTATTCGCTTGTATTTCAACCCGAGCTGCTCTTCTCTTTGGAGGCAGTACCCCGGCAAGGTAAGAGTTAAACGGGTAATAAAATGTGTTCTCCCTTTACTTTAACCCTACCGTTACCACATCGGTCGCGCTTTACTTATACCTTTACCTCTGGTTTACCCTTTAACCAGGTAATTACCCAATAAAATTAAAAATTACATTTTACCATTAATTATTCAATAAAAATAAAAAATACACTTTTATTTTAATTTCTCCGTTAATCAGATAATCATCCAATAATACAATAAAATACACTTTACTTATACTTATTCATCTACGTTCTTAAATCACCACATGTGGTTGCAAATGATGAGAGTTTCTAATGACAACTTCTGAATATCAATGTTTTGATATTCTGAAATTCTAATGAATACAGAGATTATCATTTTACCAATAATAAATGAAAAATTTAATTTATTATCTAAATAATATATATAAGATGTATAAATTTATTTTTTTCTAATTTTTAAAAATCTTTCCATGTAAAACATGAAAAAACTGTTTGTGAAGGATGTGAATCGTTCATCATTTTCTATTCTTAACCTATTCTTTCATTCAAAAGATGACTTAAAATATACAGGGAATGCTTGAGCATCATTAGACAATTGTATTATTAGACAATTGTATTATTATGTCGATAAACTAACAATCTTAGCAAATCTTACAACTGGAAGACATGTCAAAGCTTTTGCTTTAATATAGGATTATACACATTTATAATTATTATTCTAGAAGCCATAAGTTTTGTAATGTGAAAAAAATCCGGCATGTAAATATTGCCAATTTAACAGGGGTAGTAAATCAGCATTACCTTTACTCTACCCTTTAATTATCTTCCTACCTTCACCTCTAACTTTTACCCTTGACCCTTGAGTTAAAGGTATTTTACGTTACCTTCCCGAGGCCTAGTGCCATATGCACGAAGTGAGATATCTATCGTTGTGCGGGCTGAATTCAGGTCTCTGTCATTTGTTTTCATGATAAATTGCAAGAATTTATGTAGGAGGTCGTATCTAGAAGCACAACTTACTGCAAGAATGCAGTCCCTAAAATACAACAGGAACCGGAAACCCCAAGAATCGGAGTGGTCGTCCGATTGTCACATTTTAAATTTTTTTTCACTGTTATTATACTGTACTGGGTAAAATATCATGAGAATTATTATTTTTTACTTCATGATTTAAAGCATCATTTTCAACATTTTTGTAGTGATGAATAGAGCAAGAAGTTTTGTTTTTTTCTTTGTATAATCGAAATGCTGGAAAAATTTTCCAAGAAAAAAAAAATTTGTTTCTCATCACGATAAAAATCTCATCAATCTACGAACATTTCATCTAAAATTGACTAAATTGAAATTTTTTGAATGAAAATAATTAGTATTAGATGCTTCAAATGTAATTTTGACTTATATGGATAATAACATGAATGCTTTCAAGGATGAGCACAGTAATTTATCCAGACAAACATGAAACTGGGGAACAAATCTGTGAATATGCGGACGTATGAAATTTTACTGTATGTCTATATGTAAACTTTCCACTAATTTAACTTTCAACAAAACGAGTAATATACAATAAAAATTTGTATATCTGGTTGAAGTATTTAAACATGGAACTTCAGAAAGTACTACCTATTTTTTGAACTTGACAAGGTGACATTACAAGAGAAAATATTTATCTCTTTGTTTTCAAATTGAATCTATTTAAATACCTATCAAGCTTTTAAGTCTTATACTTAGAATTCTACAGATTTAAAAATTTATGCTCAATATAAGAAAAAAACTCTTTGCTCGTGTACTTTATACATTAAAATTGTCCTGTAAATAAAGGCAATCATTTTAGATAAAACATTTTTTTACACTATTGAGTCCAACATGTGAAAACTGTAAAAATTGCAAAGTGAAGGCCAAATTGTGTTCAGGTGTTCCGTAAGTGGACCCTCGGCCTTACGTTGGCCGTCGCCAGGCCCTACAGGCACTCCCTTCCAATAAACTACTCAAGTGTATCCGGAGCATCCAAGTGGTGTAAAGGAATGGTCCAACTCGCACAACGCTCATAAGTCGGGGAAAGCGCCTTACGATTATACCAAGGAGTTTGCAAAGCTTTGAAATTGTAGATATGAAAGTTTAAGGTCTTAAGGTGCATGGAAGTTGATGGAAAAATGTTGATTTGGATGCCATAAGATTATGGAAGGTGATTGAAAAGTTAATTTGGATCTCATAAGTTTACTTTTGTATCAAGAAGTAATATCCTTTGAATTGGGATCTTCTTATGACAAGATTAGCGTAAGTTGTTTCTCTTTTCATCACAATGACCAGGGATCACCTGAAAACACTTGTTTTACTGCTTCAATTTTCTAGAAAATTGAATGTGAAATGCAATTGATCATATTGTACTGCATCAAAAAAATAAAAATTTAGGATTTTACCTTTTTTATAAGATATTTTGTGGAGAAATGCAGAAAAAAATGGAAAATATAATTTTAATCTCTGTCTGTCAAATTTGTGACATGTGAATAAATCTGATCTAGAGATATGGAATAAACTCATACTCTATGAGGGTGAGCCTAATGACACTACATAATTCAATAGCTGTGCCTCCACCACGTTGAAGAACTTTGATCTGATAGATCCAGAGAAATTTTATAAATAGTTAACAACGAGAATATCATTTGTGTACCACCAAAACCAATTGATCCAAATCCCGCCGTGAGTTTCAATGTGCACGGCTCTCCCTGAATTCGACTAAAATTAGGTTTTTGCTCTGGAACTGTGGATTCTTTGCATGGAAATATATGTTCCCTCTAAGCGAATAATGACCCGTCCTTTACAAAGAAAACGAGATTAAGTCTTTCAACACAATAAGAGTTTATCACAAAATGACATCCACTCTCAGTTGGATTACCTCTTCGTATTATCCCAGTATTTAATTGACTGGTGCTTTGTCTGCGATCGTTATTCCTTCTTTGTTTTCCGGGTGTTTTTTCTCCACTCAGTGTACGGTTTGTTCCCGTCATTACCGATATTGGCTGCATCGGCTTATGAGGCCGAACAAAATTCGATCATACGCGGCGGTACCAACCTCTGAAGTGATCAATGATGTTGGGGAAATCAAAGGCCAGTTCTGCCGTGAAATGAAAACTGTATTGACATTTCAAAGAACATATTTACACATATCCAGCGTTGCTTTCATTGCAAGCACCAGCAGAGTTGGCTTGTACCGCCAAAGAAATCAATCGTACGCAACTGACTTGCCTGGATTAAGTCCAT